CACCAGATCTCATAAAGGATGGTTGTGAGCTACTATATGGTTGCTGGGAATTGAACTCTCAGGACCTCCAGAAGAGCAGTCGGTGCTCTTAACCTTGAGCCATCTCTCTAGCCCCCCTCCCCCCAGTATGTTTTCATTTCTCTCTCCTTTCTTGTGATCCAATCTAGAGGCTTTGGGGTTTGGAGAGATGGTAAGTGCACTTGCTGCTCTCCAGAGGACTGGAGTTTGGTTTCCAGCATCCATTTCAGTTGCTTCACAACCATCTGTAGCTCCAGCTCCAGGGTTTCTGATGGCATCTGAGTGCTTGATCAAAGGTGGGCGCCACAACAGCTTGGCCATTTTTTTTTTTTTTTATTTTTTATTTTATATAGTTAGGCTTCTAATTCCTGCCTTATACCACATAAGTCTAAGAAATCTGAGCATCATAATCAGCTAATTTAATAAGTTTGCAATGCTGCGAATATAGGAATTCCTTCTTTTCAACTTAAACTTGAAAACCCAGCTTTCTTCCTTGAGGATTATAGGGTTATATTTAGTGTTTTTCACAACCTGTTATAAGGACCTAGGAACATTGTGAATGTTGAATAATGGTAACTAACATAAACCTTTATATTTTTTTCAGACACAAACAAACTGTGAATCTTTAAGTGTACCAGAGTCATTTACTCTTATAACTTAGCTCAATAGAAAACAATCTAAGATTCACAAAGTCTTGTGTTTGCAAGTGTTCAGGCAAAGCTAAATTGACCCATGGCATCTCTCTTAACTGAATCTGAGATACTCTCTCTGCACATGTTAGAGATGAAGCAGGCTTCCTGTTTCTATTGGCCTTCGTTTTCCTCTACTACTCTCTCATAGCAGACTTGATCCTATTATAGGCCTCTCAAGTGCTGGGCATGTCACTGTCTTGATACCTGGTAAAATCAGAGTGAAGCTTGCTACTGTTTATCAGTGTCATGATCCACGTTTAACATCCTGAAGTTGGAATGTGTCTAGGGCATCATATGCCAACTCTCTTGTAATAGAGCAAGAATGCTTACATTAGCTGTCACTAGGGGGTAGACATGACTGCCTGTCATGTCTTGCTCAAGAGAGTCCTGCTTTATTACTCCTTTGGTATAACCCAGGAAACACACTTCTCCAGAATTTCAGCTAGCATCCCAGGAGCACTTGGGGTAAATTTGAAGTCCTAAGGGTGGATTGGAGACCATAGAGTATCATTTTCTGATATGCTCAGAAACACCCTCAGACATCACAGTGGAGAATTCTTTTGCTCTGAGAACATAATGGATATAATTATTAGAAAAACTTGGCCATCCAAGGCACAGAGTTGACAGCAATTCAGAAGGAGTTACTATGTGGATGTGAAGATGTATTAAGACAAATTCATCTGATGTCATTCATATACTTCTTTCCCTTAATAAAGCACAGAGTGATATATGATAGAAATTTATGTTTAAATAAATCAGAAAAAATTAAGTAGGCATAAAATAACAAGTGTTTAGAAGCATTTTGTCTCAGTTTAATGGATGGTGTTATTTCTTAGTGGTTGAGAATATACTGGTGAGTTACACAATTGACAGAAACTTAGATTTAAAGTAATGCAGAGTCATAATTCTTGAGAGTAAGTAGATTATTCTATTCATCACTCTTTTAGAAGTATTTGAACATGTCCCAAAATTTGTATTCAAATTTTTTAATAAGTATAAGCATTGCATTGCCAAAACACATTGAAATTAAACATTTGACGTTATTCACTTTTATTTACAGTACAAACTTTTTTCACTTTCAACAGGCAAGAAGAAGAGCTCATCAAATAGGAGTCGTCTCTAAGCTGGGTGTGGTGGTCCTTGTTTCTAGTTAGGAATTCAAGTTCCTCTTAGGTTACATAGTGAGTTTGAGGCTAGTCTGGGTAATATGATTAGAGGTGTGCGCCACCACCACCCAGCTGAGACACAATGTCACCATGGAGCACAGACGAGCTTTGACCTCTCTGTTCTTCTACTTCTGCTTGATGAATGCTGGGACTTCATTCGGCTGTATCACTACATTGAACTTAATATTTTGTATTTTTTTTTTTGACGGGGGTTGGAGGGAGAGTCGAGACAGGGTTTCTCTATGGTTTTGGAGGCTAGGTCCTGAAACTAGCTCTTGTAGACCAGGCTGGCCTCAAACTCACAGAGATCTGCCTATGGATGCCTCCCGAGTGCTGGGACTAAAGGCATGAGCCACCACCACCCGGCTGGCATTGAACTTTCAATTCTTCTACTTCAGTCTCTTAGGCAGCTGGGATTAGTGACTTGTGCTACAGGCCCAGATCTCTCTCTCTCTCTCTCTCTCTCTCTCTCTCTCTCTCTCTCTTCTTCCTTCTTCCCTCTGTATCTCCTGTCCTCTCCTTTCTTTTTCTTTGAGACAGGGTCTCACTTTGTAGCCCAGGCTGGTCTTGAGAAAGTGATCCTTCTACTGCAGCTTCCAGAGGGTTGTAAGCATGTGATACCCTGACTAGCTTATAATTTGTGATTATAGTTGAAGATATGAAGTAGAAAGAAGGAAAAAGAAATGGAGACTCTTGACTTTCTTTTTTTTTTTTCTTCGAGACAAGGTATCTCTGTTGCTTGGAGGCTGTCTTGGAACTAGCTCTTGTAGACCAGGCTGGTCTCCAACTCACAGATCCACCTGCCTCTGCCTCCCGAGTGCTGAGATTAAAGGTGTGCATCACCTCCTCCAGCCCAAAGTAGGGTCTCTTGACTCCAGAGCTCATTAATTTGGCTAGCTAAGAAGCCTCCTGTCTCTACTTTGGGAATGCCAAGGTTACAGCCAGCTGTCATCCTTACCCACCATGATGTGGATGCTGGGGATGCAAACTCTGGCCCTGATGCATTCATTGCAAGCACTTTCATCTTCAAAGCCAGCTCCTCTGCTCAGGTATAGTCTTATTTTCCTATGTCTTACAACCAAAGTAATATCATGTTTTTTTTTTTTTAAAGTTTGAGAAAAGTTTTAAGTTGTAACGGATGACCTTGAACTTGCAGTCTTCCAAACCAGCTTCTAGAATGGTTGTGCTTGTACCACTAGTCCAAAACATCATGGATTACTCTTCCAGGAACTTAGAGGTATAGTAATAAAACTGTATCATCAAAGTGCTTAGATTTTGATGGGTTAGATAATAAATATGCTAATTAAATACATTTGCTAATCAGTTTAAAGGCAAAAAAAAAAAATGAAGACTAGAGACTGGAAGTGTTAGAGGTCACAACCCTAGCTGTGACTGACAGGGAGAAAGTGAAAGTGAAGTGAGAACAGAGAGCTACAGGAGTCTGTGTGTATAGATTTCTGGGAGAAGACCATATGAAGCAGAGAGCACAAATAGGTGGAAAAGAAGTAGGCAGAAAGTAATCAGGCAGGCTTGGAGCAGCTGGGCAGCGTGGATCCATGAGTGTGTCAGGCAAGGTATAAAGAGTGCAAAAGGTGGAACAGATACAGTAGGTGTGGTAGGTCAGAAGATCACCCCTGGTGAGGAGGACTGCTTATAAGCCCTGGGTAGAGGTGCGTTCTAGTCTGACTGGCCTTTCAGGCAGATGTTCTGACTAGAGAGTCGAGTCCAGGATAGGGAATTAGAAGCAGAACAATATGTCAGTTTGTCACAATTCAGGTAAGAGGTAAAAGTGATGTACACCCAGACTGTAACAGAAGTGTTGACATAATTCTGGATGTGATTTGAAGGGCAAGCTCTCATGATTTTCTGATGAACTGAAGATAGGCTGAGGAACAGAAGACCTCATCGATAACTAAGAATTTCAGCCTGACTCACTGAACATTGTCCTGTCACACGTCAAGGACAATGGAACACTGAAAAGGAAGTAGAAAGAGGGTAAGGCTATTAAAAATGAAGTCTTGGGGGCTAGAGAGATGGCTCAGCAGTTAGGAACACTTACTGTGTGGGGCATGGAACAGCTTGGGCACTGCTGCCCTGGCAGGCTTAATCAAAACCAGTGAAAAAGTAGGCCTGAGTTTTAGTTTATTGGGATGCAGCACTGGGTTCCAGGAAAAGCCATAAACTGACACCACCCAGGGAGGGCCAGCTGCTAAGGGGGAGTACCTGACACCCCAAACATCCCAACCATTAGATAAGATCACCAGATGTCCTCCAGCCCAGCATGGACCCATTTCCTTTTCTCTAAGACACCCCTAGACAAATGTCAGCCAATCAAGGTCTTGAACCCTGAAAATCTCCTCACCCTTAACCTTGATTATGATTAAAAAAAACAAAAATCAAACCCCCAAAACTCTACCCCACCTGGGGGGGGATACTCTCAACTGCTATGTCAGACAGATGGACAGACTGAGAGTCCAACCTTAAGCTTGAATAGACTTTATGCTTTTGCATATGAGTGCAGCGGTGGGGCATAACAACTGCTGTCCCAGAGGACCTGGGTTTGATTCCAGCATTCACATGGCAGCCCACCACTATTTGTAACTCCAGTCTCCAGGAATATGACACCCTCTTTTGACCTCTGCAGGCACTGTATGCATTCAGTGCACATATATGCACTCTACACTCAGGCACACACACATCCACATAAAACAAATACAGAGAAAAGTACAGGGAAAAAGAAAAAAAATGGGACAATGGCTAAAGTGTACTTGTCAGATACTGTGATTTAAAAAAAAATGCTTATGCAACTCGTCAGGGGGAAAAGAGAGGGAAAATTGGAGAGAGGAAATTGTTTTCAGCCAGAAGTCAGTAAATAGACCTTTCCTAACTTTTTTTTTTTTTTTTGAGATTCTTTTCTTGTTGTAGTTTGCTCAGGGTATTCCCCCCACCCAAATAAGTTGAGAACCATGATGTTGAGAAGAGACCTCAAAAACAGGTCGACTGAGCACAAGAGGGATTGGGGAGGGGAGGGAAATGACTGCAACTTGCTCCCAGGGACTGGAGAAAATTAAAAAGAAAAGAAAAAAGAGGGTTGGAATCCATCAGTCTTCTGTGCTTGTCAAACCTGCCTTCCTCCTCTTCATCACCATCTTCATCACCTTCATCCCCTTCATCAACAATGTCTTCCAAGCCTTCTTCCTCTTTGTCATTCTCATCCTCATCCTCATCCTCATCATCCTCTGCCTCTCCTTCTTCATCATCCCTATCAGGAACCAAATAGTACTGCGAAGAATTTCATCTGAATGAGAGTGGCGATCCATCACCAAAGTCCACTGAAATCAAATGGGAATCTGGAAAGGATTTGACAAAATGTTCAAGTCAAACTCAGATTAAGGCCAGCAGGAAGAGGCAGGGAGCTTCTTTACCTGGTACTGACCATTCTGATGGGGGAGCAGATGAGTTAGGAGAGGTCATCAAGATGATATTTGGCCAAACCCCTTTCCTAATTTCTTAGTCATGATGATGGTAATGCCTCCTGTCCTCTGTGCAAATCTACTCTGTATTTCAGTGCCAGACAATCACCGTTTTATCTTTCCAGTAAAGAGTGCCCTATCTGTTCCAGCCCATAAATTTAGAGACCTCTCTCATCAGAACCTATTGCTTTTTTTTTAGTTAAAAAATAATTGAGCTGGACAGTGGTGGCACATACCTTTAATCCCAGCACTCTGGAGGCAGAGGCAGGTTGATCTCTGTGAGGTCGAGACCCACCTGGTCTACAAGAGCTAGTTCTAGGACAGCCTCCAAAGCCACAGAGAAACCCTGTCTCGAATCCCTCCCCCCACCCCCACAAAAAAAAAGAAAAGAAAAATAATTGAAGTGGAGAGATTGGGACAACAACCCAGTCACAAAACCCTTGACCTAGAATTTGTCCTGCCAGCAAGATGTGCTGGGTAAAGGTGGCAGCAGAAATTGTGGGAGTGGCTAACCAATGACTGGCCCAGCTTGGGAACCATACCATGAGAAGGACCCCATGCTTGAGGGCCAGAATCCAGAAGCATGATAGCCCAGCGACTTAGAACAGAACCAAGCATGACTAGAAAAAAAACAAAAAAAGTCACTGAAATGATTCTTAATGATATTCTGCTATACTCATCTATACTCATCGATTGAGGTCTAGGCCAACTGTCATCAGAGAGATTTCATTCAGCCATTGATGGAAGCAGATTCAGACACCCACAGTCAAACATTATTAGATGGCTCTCTAGGAATCCAGTGGAAGAGTGGGGGAAAGGATTCTAGGAGCCAGCGGGGTCAAGGACACCACAGGAAAATTAACCTGAGCTCATAGGGGCTCACAGAGACGAACTGACAACCAGGAAGCCTGCATGGAACTGACCTGGGCCCTTTGCATAAATGTTGCAATTGTGTAACTTGGTCTTTTGTGGAACTCCTAACAGTGAGAGCAGGGGATGTCTCTAACTCTGTTGCCTGCTTTTGGGACCCTTTCCTCCTACTGGATTGCACAGTCCAGCTTTAATAGGAGAGGAGGTGCCTAGTTTCACTGCAACTTGATATGCCATGGTTGGCTGAAATCCATGGGAAGACCTTCCTTTTCTGAAGAGAAACAGAGGAGGGGTGGAAGAGGAGAGGGATAGAGAGAAGAGGAGGGAGGGGAAACAACAACTCCCCCCAAAAAAAACCAAAAACCAAAAACCAAAAAAAAATTAGGCACATAGAAACATAGATAAAAGTTACTTCATAAAGTAGAATATACACTTGTTAGAAAACATGACATGTATGGTGATGATTTTTTATTTTTTATTTTTTTGGTTTTTCGAGACAGGGTTTCTCTGTGTAGCTTTGGAGCCTATCCTGGCACTCGCTCTGGAGACCAGGCTGGCCTCGAACTCACAGAGATCCGCCTGCCTTTGCCTCCCGAGTGCTGAGATTAAAGGCGTGCGACACCGACGCGTGGCTGTATGGTGATTATATGAGCGTGTTCTCATTACAAAATTTATCAGTCAGGTGGTGATGGCGGCATGCAGCTTTAGTTCCAGCACTCGGGAGGCATATCTCTGAGTTCGAGACCAGCCTAGACTACAGAGTTAGTTCCAGGACAGCTAGGGCTACACAATGAAATCCTATCTTGAAAAATCAGGTGGGAAAGTGAGTGGGGGGAGAGAATACAGAGCCTCAGAGATGGGTTAAGAACATTTATTATTCTTGCAAAGGACCTAGATTTCATTCCCAGTACCCATACTGCAGCAAACAGCTGTGTGTAATTGCATGTATGTGCACAGATATACATGCAGGCAACATACCATACACATAAAGATAAATCTAGAAAGCTGTGCAGTGGTGGTGGATTGCCTTTAATCTTAACACTTCAGAGGTAGAGGCAGGTGGATCTCAACAAAACTGAAACATGAAAACACACAAAATGTGTGTTTGTTGGCTATCTTGAAATATTTAGATATATGTGTATGTTGCCTTATGTTTAAATCAGGGCAAACCTGCCTATCAACTCAACTGTTTATTACTTCTTTGTGAATAAAAAAATTTAAAAACTTTTCTCCCAGCTTTTTGAAAAACACAGCACATCATTGCCATCCATGGTCACCCCACTGTGGAAAAGCACACCGAATAGCTCTGGTAATTTGTTCCACTAAATTGGTTATTAGTCATCTGCTTAGGCTCAGCCAACTTTCCCATTACACTCTTAGCCCCACCTGAAGTATCCAGCAAATACTAGCCGACCCTCTCTTGCATTTGCATAGAAACTAATCTCATTTATTATAACCCCTTAAAGAGAAGCGTTTATTATTTTCAATGTAAAAGTTCTTCATGTCCTAAAATTACTATTAACCTCCTTTTTGGTATCATATTTTTGGTCATTTCTTAACATTTTCCCTTTTAAAAATTTTATACATAGGGTGTCTTGTCTGCATGCATGTGTATCCCATGCCTGTATCACACATGCGCAGCACCTGTGGAGGCCAGAAAATGTGTTAGATCCCCCCAGACAGGAGATACAAGTGTCTGTGAGTTGTCTGATGGGGGGGGGGCTGAAAGTGAACTGGGGTTCTCTACACGAACAGCGGGTGCTCTTAACCACTCACCCACCCCTCATCTCACCTGAAAATCACACTTCATTCAGGTTTTCTGCCTCTATTCATAGGTTTTGTTTTCATTTTTGAAGATAGGGTTTCTCTGTGCAACAGCCTGGGCTGTCCTGGAACTGATTCTATAGACCAGGCTGGCCTCAAACTTACAGAGATCTGCCTGGGTCTACCTCCCAAGGGCTGGGATTACAGGTATGTCCTTCAAGAAACCCTCCACTGTCAGGTCAGAGCTCTCCTCATGATCTAATTGTTTCTGGAAACATCCTCACAGACATATCTGGACGAGGGACTTAGTAGCCCTCTAGTTGTTAATTTAGTTAACAATCAAGGTGAGTACTGAACTTCAACCTGGCTTTCCTTTGTGATAAAAGAGATTTTGGGTAAGATTTCTAATGTTCTGTTGCACATTTTTTTAAAAAAAATTCTTATTGAATATGAAGAGTCAGGGAGTCCTGCTATCTGTTCCTACAGAGGAACAATTAATTAGTTAATTCCTAAGCCCAAGACAGGTGATGTCTTTTCCTTTCTTGTCTGGGTAGCTGAAAACCAGCAGCTTTAAGCCACTCATGCATTGCAATCAGAGCTCACTTTTCACGGAGTTGCAACTACTGTTTTATTACCATACTTTTTGAATTGAAAGATGATTTTTATTCTTCTTACAGCAATAGCTGTTCATAAATCCATGGATTTATTTAAGCACAGGGTAGTCCTAAGAATATGATATCAAATTGTAATGGAAGAAGAGGCCTATACCCAAGTTACGGATGCTTATCCCATTCTGGCTCGATTTGACAGGATCTTGCATGCCCTTGGAGATTAGGCCATTTTAGGGCTCAGGAAGGATGCTCCCTTCTGCTTTCATTTGTCACATTTGTAGTCTTTTTTTTTTTTTTTTTTTTTTGGTTTTTTGGGACAGGGTTTCCCTGTGGCTTTGGAGGCTGTCCTGGAACTAGCTCTTGTAGACCAGGCTAGTCTCGAACTCACAGTGATCTACCTGCCTCTGCCTCCCAAGTGCTGGGATTAAAGGCGTGCGCCACCACCGCCCGGCTTGTCACATTTATAGTCTTAATAGCATCTTTTAAAATTATATTTATTAGTGGTGTGTGTGTGTGTGTGTGTGTGTGTGTGTGTGTGTGTGCATGTGTGCGCGTGCTCGAGAGCGTGTGCTCATGCGCACCACCACCTCCTGGCAAGGACTCAGATTTAATCTGGATTAAAATTAGTTAAATTTGGCCAGGTGGTGGTGGTGCATAACTTTAATCCTAGCATTCGGGAGGCAGAGGCAGGCAGATCTCTGAGTTCGAAGCCAGCCTGGTCTACAGAGTGAGTTCCAGGACAGGGTCCAAAGCTACACAGAGAAACTCTGGCTCAAAAAACCACCCCCCCCTCCAAAAATAGTTAAATTTATTAAACCTGCTAGCAGGGCAATCTCTGAGCTAGACTTGAAATTGCCTTGAGGAGGGGGTTGAGGGAAGGGTTTAAAGTATGAGAAACCTTGCACAAGTAAGCCAGGAGCTGTTCTGCCCTACAAAGATTAGGTATTCAAGGCAACTTCAAAATAGTCCTTGAATGTTTACATAAGCAGGTTATAGAAGCCAAAAAAGCAATTATTCATATCATAACACAACAGATGGTCAGGGCTATAGATTTATGATTGGGGGGTCACTGAGTCATGGTTAATGGGTTACTTATCCTCCAGGGACTAGAGTCAGAGATAAATGGCTAATGGGTACCCAGATGGATGTCTAGCATAAAATGGAGTTCCTTTAGTTATCAAAGTCATATGCCTGTAATCTTAGCACTTGGGAAGAGGCTGGATGATCAGAAATCGAGGTCTTGTCTACATAAGTTTGAGGCCAGCCTGGGCTAATAAAAGACCCCACCCACCAAGAAGCAATTGTATTGGGTTAGGGGTCACCCTAATAATAATATTGTAACCAAATGAACTCTTAAAGACTTTGTTTTCAGATATAGCCACACTGTTAGGTAGGTATTGGGGGGAGGGTTAGAACTTCAACCTATGAATTTTTTAATGAGTACAACTTAGCCCTTAACACAGTCCTAAAGTAAGATAAACAAAGGTAGAAATTTGAAATTCTCAATGATTAAAAATTTAGAGGAAGGGCTTTGCACAGCTAAGACTTAGATATACAAGGACAATTTCAGTTGGTTTTAGTATTTGCATCCCTGAGCTCACAAACCTAAACCACAGAGCTTAGGGAGAGAGCTAAGTCATAAACTGCCAGCCTTGCCAACATTCAGAGCTGAGTTTGATCCTCAGAACTCAGATTTTTTTTTTTTTTTTTTTTTTTTTTAA